GACGCTTTTAAGGTTTTTAAAGAGTGTAAAACTTCATCGGAAGATATTACTGGAATATAAGCAGAGTTGATTGGACAAAGCTCGTACGGATAGTCTCCACTTATAGGGAAGTCTACAGAATAATTGGACCTAAAGAACCGAGCAAACATGTTGGCAATGAGTTGGCTGTCGCTAGATACAGTGTTGCGATAATGCATAGCGGACGGAAAACCATGTGCCTTACGCTTTGAATTTACGAAACCATAAAATGATTTAGGATTGTTAATTAAATTCTTCTTAATTTTACATAAATATGAATTATAACATTTCTTATTTAATGCAAAGTAGCTATGCCGCAAAACTGAGTACCTTAGGTAATCACTGTGTAAGCCCGTTCTTTTATACAGTTTAAAAGAGTGCGACTTTTTATTTTTCAATTTTTTAAGCTCTTTAGTGAACCATAATTGTATTGGTTCTTCATGAACAATATTACGTATTGGCACATACTTTCGAAACAAATTGAAAACAGTATCATTAAAGTGCTCAACGCTACGCTCCACGTCATCTCTATATATTGGCCAAGATAACTTTGAAAGTTCTTTGTTAATTTTCCTGAAATTTGCTTTCGCAAAAACATATCTAGTACTTGAACTTGACTTATTATTATGTATTTCATTTATGATTTCGTAGCTTAACTCAAGAGCAGGATGGTATGCATCTTCCGGCAAAACTAGGGGATCACACCGATTAATAGAGGCCTTCGGAACATCATCAACGTAAACGAGATCCAAGACCTTTCCAAACTTATTTGGACATATATTTATTTGTTTGAGGCATAGTTCAGCCATTTCCTCCAGAAATACATTGTAACTATCTCTAGATGAAACTGGTACAACATCGGTGTCAATGATGTTCCATGAAATGTGTGGCAGATTTAAATCGCCCAAAACAATCATAGAATCGGATGCCGTAAGCATTGCATTTACGGTCTCAAGTAAAGAAACTAGCTGCATATATACCGATACGGCAGAATTAGGAGGGATGTAGCAAAGAGCTAAATAAATATAAGTCTTTCCAGCCTGTACACGTATACATTTAAATTCGGTATATTCAATGACAGGAAGACTAACTTCCTCGGATGGTATCGATGAATGCACCGCAAAAAGAACACCACCGCCGATTCTGCCCACGCGGTCACTCCTGTATATTTGATATTCATTTGGAAGAATTTCGGAATTAAAAATATGAGGTTTGAGCCATGTTTCGGTCAAGGAAATAATATTATAATTGCAGTCAAAACCTTTTAAATATAAGTCAGTTAATTTGGTATTCAAACCTCTAACGTTTTGATAGTAAATACTTAAATTAGACTTGCGAGTTAGTTTTTTGAATCCGAATTAAGATTAGAAATTTTAGCTACGTTATTATTACTTTTATTAGGTTTATACTCAAACTCGCGAACAAACGCCCCGGTCGGCCAAAATGAACTATTTAGTAGTGAATCAAAATCTTCGGAAGCTACATCAATTTTAAAAGATGAAATATCGCGATCGTATTTAAAATTAAATTTACGAATAAATACATCTTTAGTTCTAATTTTAGTCGATATGTATGACTTTATATCATCCGAAGAAGTATCTTTAGCAAATCTAGAGACAAAGATTGATCTTCTCGGAGGAATTACAACCAACTTTTTGGTAATGATGTCTGATGTGCGGGGCTCCGAATTATTCGGAGGAACTAAGTTAGACAGTGGAGCTTGAGATGTTGATGGCAACACTGTTAAATCAACGGTTTGACTATTTTTAGAAGTAGACCTAGTGGATATGGCTTTAGAAATCGGAGGCTCCAATGCCTGAGGGCATGGAGAAGATAAATTAATAAGTTCTAAGGACTGGGATGGAGGATTTTTTTTACTAGAATCCGTGGCTGTCTTTTTAGGTGGACTAATAACATGCCCACCTTTATTTTCACGGCTATCTTCAGAGTGTGGAGGGTCGTCGAGACAAGTGAAAGATCTAAACATTTTTTCGTAATGCTTAAATTTCTCAACAAGCGCCGACAGATCCTTCCCGATCTCAGAAAAACCATTTCTGGACTGCCTGAAGAATTTAAATAAATCAACTTCGGTTGATCTACATTTTTGACAAGACCAACGAAGACCCTTACCCTCGTTAATAGCGTCTAATACTCTACCGCTCAAACCAGCACATTTTATATGGGCAATCCCATCGCAGAGCCAGCATGACACATAGGAGTCGCTTTTAACGTGGCAATTGGTGTAAATACACGACATGTTTAAAATTATATTTATTTTTAGGTTTTAGAAGCAAAAAAGCAAAAACGGTTTTGAAAACGATGTATTAATCAGTGAACCAATCAGCTGGTAAATATCAGTTAGCGAACAGTTTTAAATGCACTGTATATTTGACACCTAATAAACACAACGCAAACAGCTGTGACAAAGATGAAACAGCAGAAATGACAAAAAGACAAAAAGAGCAAAATCAATGTGCACAAACAAAAACAATTGTACAACAACAATATATTATATGAAACAAAATACTCGGCAAATGAAATTAAGAATATCAAGTTAAATTAATCAAATTTACGGGAAATTTTGATGTTAAATTTTGCACCAGAAGTTTATTAACACTTTTTTTAATTTTTTACTTTAATAAGCGTAAACAGCTTTATCAAACACAAAATTTAAACAGATCACAGAAAAACACAGCTTCACAGCTTGACGTTTGCGTCTTGCGTTATACGTTATACGCAGCTAATTTTTTTTTATTTTACTAGCTGTGTTTTAGTATTACCAAATGTTATGTTAGCTATGTTTTTAATAAATTTGACATTGAAAAAAATATTAAAACTGAAAAAAATGTTTGGTAGGTTTTGGTTGGTTATGGTAGGAAATTTCGGTAGGAAAAAAAATGTGTGTGGCAACGCTGTTTGCGACCCGTTAGGAAACATGCTGTAACCCGAAAAAGCAGTAAAATCACTCTTCTAATTTTTTAAAGTACTAAATAAAAAATTTTAAAAATTACTAAATTTTTCTTTTTTTACCTAAATCACCTAATGTACTCGCCAAAAAATATTCCTTAAAATACAGTGAAAGGTCGCTTAGACGGACGCTCTAATAAGCGGACACATTCTTGGGAACGAACAAGTTTTGGTTTTTTTTTTCATACAAAATGCTTTCCCATACACGGACTTTCCGATAAAAAAAAACTCTCCCATAAGCGGACGCGAAGCTCTAACAAGCGGTCAATTTTCTTTTGTTTGTGTACTTTTGAATGTACTTTTAATTCACCCTGTTTCTGTCTATTGAAGAATAAATATTATTTTAATTTAGAAACCCGCAATTTCAATTTTTTATGTTTGAATTTTTATTTTATTTTTTACGAAATTCCTGTAAGCGGACATCTCTCATAGGCGGACAAAAAAGGCTACCATCGGTTTCCGCATATTGGAGCTTTCACTGTATTTGACATCCGCATTCGCATTCGCATCCGCGGATGTTCGCTTTTAAACATCCGCATCCGCGGATGTCTAAAAATCCACATTTGCAACATCCCTAATACGTACATATAAGCCAATCAACAATAGGCCTTTTTCAGGGCCGCAATTAAGTTGACAAAGAGATTAAAATTTTATGTCCTATATATATTTATGTTCTTAACGTATATAATGTATGCATGTATCTTTTTATAGCATTTTCAGTTTAAATGAAGCCATATTCAAATTAAGCGAAACCTTTTTCAAATTAAATGAAACCTTTTTCATGTTAAGCGAAACCTTTTTCAAATTAAATGAAACATTTTTCATGTTAAGCGAAACCTTTTTCAGATTCAGTGAAACTTTACTCAAATTAAATGAGACCTTTTTCAGAGTCAATGAAACTTTATTCAAATTAAATGAAATTTTTTTCAAATTAAATGAAACTTTATTCAAATGAAATTAAACTTCTTTTTTGGATTACTTTGAATTAGCTGTTACGTGTTGCTCTCCCTTACGGTCAAGGCATGTTGAATAAAGTCTTGCCGTTTCGGTCCAATTGGACCAAAATTGGTAGTTTCATTTCTTAAAATAAGGCTTTGGTAGGTTGGTTGGTTTGTTGTGATTTTCGAGGGATTTTGATAACTAGGATAATCATATAATTTATTCATTTTCTAAAACTTCAAATATCTCTGTTTTCGGGAGACATGTAAAGGATGATGTGAAAAGGAAAAGAGTAATGGGACATGTCAAAATTATTCTTGAACCGAAGTTGAATGTTGCCGTGATTAGACTGTGCTCTAATCTCTATGTTGTTTAAGTTAGAAGAAAATAATTATACAACTGTTATGCAAACGCCAAATTTTACATTTCGCTTAAGCGAGTGAGTGAGAAGGGAGAGTATTTGTACCTTATTTCCCTCTTCTCCCTTAAGAAAATAATAGTTGACAACTTTGAATTCGTGTAGCAACAGTAAAAATATTCTCCCAGTTAAACATCATAATCGGCGTTATCGACTCCCTGATATAAGTATGGCATCGATACCGTCGATAACGATGTGTAACTGGGAGTTAAGGCTCTGTTGCGTACGTGTCTTTACGTAGAAATCAAAAACCAACAGACTTCTACGTGTGTAAGGCTGTGCGTTGGGTAACAGCTTACACGCGAAGCTCATTTAACAGATTCCTTATGTGACAACTCTCAAGCAATGCAAAGTATGCATAACAGAGCCCTTAGTGTTAGCCAGACATGGTGCAAACGGCTCTTAATAGGTTAAGTTGATTTCCTGTTCCTTAATTTAAAAATGTTTAATACTTAATTTGAATAAAGTTTCATTGAGTCTGAAAAAAGTTTCATTTAATTTGAATAAAGTTTCATTGAATTCGAAAAAGGTTTCATTTAATTTGAAAAAGGTTTCGCTTCATCTGAAAAGGGTTTCAATTAATTTGAAAAAGGTTTCGCTTAACCTGAAAAAGGTTTCATTTAATTTGAAAAAAGTTTCATTTAAACTGAAAATGCTATAATAATTACCATTTAAATTGTATAATTTTTTTACTTAGATTTAATAGCAATTACTTGTTTTTGCACATCATTTTGCTTCGTTATAGTTAAACTTAACTAAGTGGATAAATGAAAATATAATAATACATATTTAACGCGCAGTTTTAAGAAATTCTTCAACGGTTTGACCACTGCAAATTAAGACTATAGTAGTAAAAATTTCAAATCGAATAAATGTATATTAAAACTATACCTCATTGCACTAGCTTCCAAAAACAGGGAAGAAAAATAACTATGACGTACTGAGCTCTGGTTGTTGATGCAAGACTATTTTGCTGAGACTGACGCGACACACACCAGTCGCGTATACCCTCCATCCAGGGGAACCAGATTTTTGTGTGATGATCTGGTGTAATTTTCAAATACCCCTCCCGGACAGCTTCAGTGGCATCGGCAGCCAGCTGATCACATTTCACGTACCTGCAAAATGATTGTAAAGCAACAGTTATAATATTTATTCGCAAAGTAATTTACGAAACATACCATTGTGGCTTAATCATGGGTTCAACTACATCCTTGGAATGACTGTAGAAGTGCACGACCATAGGATTATTGACGGTCTCGCGATACAAGCCCAGTTCTTTTAGTTTTTCTAGTATGCGTTTACGGCAATCAAAACGTTTCATGCCCTTAAACTCGCCGTAGTCACCGATGATATAACCATCGTCATTGAAGTAGTGATGATGATCGGTTTTGAAGTAAACATTCATTTATATAGCATTTTCAGTTTAAATGAAACTTTTTTCAAATTAAATGAAACCTTTTTCAGGTTAAGCGAAACCTTTTTCAATTTAATTAAAACCCTTTTCAGATGAAGCGAAACCTTTTTCAAATTAAATGAAACCTTTTTCGGATTCAATGAAACTTTATTCAAATTAAATGAAACTTTTTTCAGATTCACTGAAACTTTATTCAAACCAAATGAAACTTTTTTGAAATTAAATGAAACTTTATTCAAATTAAGTATTAAACATTTTTAAATTAAGGAACAGGAAATCAACTTAACCTATTAATAGCCGTTTGCGCCATGTCTGGCTAACACTAAAGGCTCTGTTATGCATATTTGGCATTGCTTGAGAGTTGTCACATAAGGAATCTGTTAAATGAGCTTCGCGTGTAAGCTGTTACCCAACGCACAGCATTACATACGTAGAAGTCTGTTGGTTTATGATTTCTACGTAAAAACACGTACGTAACAGAGCCTTAACTCCCAGTTACACATCGTTATCGACGCTATCGACGCCATACTTATATCAGGGAGTCGATAACGCCGATTATGATGTTTAACTGGGAGAATATTTTTACTGTTGCTACACGAATTCAAAGCTGTCAACTATTATTTTCTTAAGGGAGAAGAGGGAAATAAAGTACAAATACTCTCCCTTCTCACTCACTCGCTTGAGCGAAATTTAAAATTTGGCAAACTCTATGGATCAGTCTAATCACGGCAACATTCAACTTCGGTTCAAGAATAATTTTGACATGTCCCATTTCTCTTTTCCTTTTCACATTATCCTTTACATGTACTTCCGAAAACAGAGATATTTGAAGTTTTATAAAATGAATAAATTATATGATTTGCCTAGTTACCGAAACCCCTCGAAAATCACAACAAACCAACCAACCTACGAAAGCCTTATTTTAAGAAATGAAAGTACCAATTTTGGTCCAATTGGACCGAAACGGCAACAATGTATGACCGTAAGGAAGAGCAACACATAACAGCTAATTCAAAGTAATCCAAAAAAGAAGTTTCATNGAAACCCCTCGAAAATCACAACAAACCAACCAACCTACGAAAGCCTTATTTTAAGAAATGAAAGTACCAATTTTGGTCCAATTGGACCGAAACGGCAACAATGTATGACCGTAAGGAAGAGCAACACATAACAGCTAATTCAAAGTAATCCAAAAAAGAAGTTTCATTTCATTTGAATAAAGTTTCATTTAATTTGAAAAAAGTTTCATTTAATTTGAATAAAGTTTCATTGAATCTGAAAAAGTTCTCATTTAATTTGAATAAAGTTTCACTGAATCTGAAAAAGTTCTCATTTAATTTGAATATACTTTCACTGAATCTGAAAAAGGTTTCATTTAATTTGAAAAAGGTTTCACTTAAAATGAAATAGGTTTCATTTAATTTGAAAAAGGATTCGCTTAATTTGAAAATGGTTTCATTTAAACTGAAAATGCTATACCCTGGCATCCTACTGGTTCATATCCCATAATCCAGCCATCTTTGCAGTTACGACACCTGGATGATGAATGAAAAAAAGAAAAAGGCATATTTTTACAGGTCTATTCTAACAATTTGGTTACAATAACTTGTCACCTTAAATTTGTTACAATTTTGTAACCAATACTTGTACCGGGTATTCTAGCAACTTCGTAACAAGGAAAAGTTCACCTTGTGGTGAAAGCGAAATTATTGGCAGCACTGTTCACAGCTGATTACTAAAATAATGAAATTGACAGATGAAAAATGGAAACGCAACAGCGAGAAAAGTAAGTGTATTTTAACTTATTTAGCCATTTATGCAAATAACTAAATTTATTAAATGTGTTTCTTGCAGAAAATTTCAGCGGACAACGCAGGAACAACTGCAATGCTATATTGCATATATAAAAAAGAATCCAGAGCTGGTGACTGGAAAAAATACGCCTGCGCAGCCACGACAGGTGCAAGATCTGTGGGAGGAACTAGCCAACAATTTGAATGCGCTGAACGGGCCCACACGTACCCCAATTAAGTGGAAGGAGGTAAGTAGCAACATGCATTTATTTAGCAAAAAAGCTTTACTTTGTATTTCTTTTTGCAGTCACTGGCAAACTGGAAAAAACAATTGCGTAGTCGGGCGAGAAGGCTCAAAGCGGACCAAATGGGCACAGGAGGCGGGCCAAAGCCTGCTGATTTGGGTGATTTTGACAGCCAAGCACTTGAGGCCATGGGAATGATGGCAGTGGATGGGATTCCTGCTCAGGAGCTGGGATTCCAGGCAAGAATAGATCCTATTTTTAATGAAAACGTTCATAAGTGTATTAATATAATTTTTTTTTTATATATCTATTATAGGATACTGTATGCTCCACTGCACATGACGTAGTCTCAACTTTGCGAGTTACGGTAGATGAACCCTGCAGTCCACCCGTTCATACGAGTATTAATGTTTTTTTTTAATATTATAGGATACTGTATGCTCCACTGAACATGAGGAAGTCTCAGCTTTGCAAGTTACGGTAGAAGAACCCTGCAGTCCACCCGTCAGCAATAGTCCACTCTGCAGAACCAATATTTTTTCTCGCAGCGATATTTCTTCTTCCAACTCACCCATTGAGGCAACACCATCCAGAACAAACAACAAAAGAGGAGGATCACAGGAACTCGTAGATGTTGTGTTAAAACATATTAGAAAGCGAGAAGAGTACGATGGCCGTATGCTTGAGCAGCAAACAAGAACTAATGATGCTCTAGCTAAACTAGGAGAAGGATTTTTGGCTCTTGCTGAAGCTATGAAAAAGCCTTAATATAATCATTTATTGTATTGTATTGCTGTATTCGCTCAGCCGGCTTTAAGCACACTAATTTTTTTTGCTGTACTGGCGTTTTTTAACTTATAAAAAGACTGAGTTTATTATTTCTTTTATTATTTAAGTATATTTAATTTGCTACATGCTTATATAATATACATATCTATCGATGTGTGTATGCACATATGTACACTAACATATACACATATGCACATATTTGAATGAATTTGCAGGAGATTATTTTGTTACATGGTCATGCTAATATAGCTTTGAAGTAAAGCAAATGCTGTTTTATTTGAATTATGCTTTCATAACTGAAATGGAAAAAGTCGTGAATAAATTATTTTATTTTTTTCATTAAATGATGTGGGAGTTGTAATTCGATGAAATCCATCATATGCAGAACCGCGTATGTGAAGTTTTAGAAATCATTTTCTAGAGTGTAAAAACGCCCATATTTCAAAATGGTTCTCTTTTTTATAAAGAAATCGCACTTCTGGCTAGTATATTTCAGGACAAATGGATAAGGATTGAGCCAAGAGCTTGTGTGAGCAAATCCAATTTTTGGCAGCCAATGTCAGTTACGCGGTTTTGCAGAATGACGCTGTTTTGTACTTTAAACGACGATATGTAACTATGAAATTTTTACACAACATGGAAGAAGTAGCTGCAATTTCTAGGTACTTAACTCAATATTTGCAATTTTTGGATTATGACGCTATTGAAATAAATGAGCGATATGTATTTACATACATATGTATGTATGCACTTCGTATGGAAAAAATTACTGACATCGTTAACAAAAAATTTTTTAGAAAATCAACGCGATTCATTAGCAACTTTAAACTTGCATTTTGTTATACTAAAATCTAATGGGCTATAAAACTGCATACTTAGATTTTTTCCAGAAAATCTGATAGGAAGTTGGAAATGGTTATGCGATATTTTGGATTTTCCTAAGTTTTGCAGAAAGTTTAGAGATTATATCTTTATGTTTTTTGTTATAGTATTAACTATATTTTTATAAAAAATTAGTGGAAAGAAATTAGAATAATAACCATTGCGAAAAATTGTCTGTACAAATACTTTTGTCCGGTACCGTAAGCTAGTTCACTAATAAAGCAACAATGCCCCGTGGTAGATAATTTCGTTTTAAAGCGTTTGAATGTATCGAGAACGTATTATCTGACCTTCACGATAATACTGACTTCGAATAACGTTTGCTGGTGTGGATGGAGTATCGAATTCTGCCTCATTAGTCTCGATAAAAGTAAGCGGACATTTCTTTAATGCAATATTATGCAAAATTACGCACGCATTTATAATGTTGACTGCTCTTTCATGACTGTAGTGCAAAGCTCGATGCTTCGAAAGGCACCTAAATCGCGATTTTAGCACCCCGAAAGCTCTCTCAACTACATTGCGAGCTTTGGCATGTAACTTATTGTACCTTTCCTCTTGTGTACTGGATGGCTCTGGAATTGGAGTTAGAAGCCAAGGCTCCAGGGGATATCCTTGGTCTCCCAAAAGCCAGCTACCACTTTGTCTCATCATGAACAAGCGTACTGCCGATGTTGTCCAAATTCCGGAATCATGGCATGAGCCCGGAAATCTAGCGTTCACTGCTAAAAATTTTAGGCTATGATCACAAACGGCTTCCACATTTATGCTATAAAATCCTTTTCTATTCATGTAGAGGCTGCTTGGCTTTGAAGGATCAATCGACGAAGGAGCAATAATTGCAATGTGGGTGCAATCGATCGCGCCTATTGTACTTTTTACGCCGAAAGACACGTAAAAGCTGTAAAAATATTATAAATAGAGGCGTGTATTAAATTACAACTAAATACTTTTCCATTGAACTGTATACCCCGTTTTGATGGTCAATTGTTCTTCATTTGTTTTGGGAAAATTTACTTCGTTTAGTTTTCTGTTAACAATAATAGCTGATATGTGCTGAAGTGATCGCGACACTGACGGCTGGCTCATTGAAGCCACAAAATTGTTTCCAACGCATTTTTGGTATGATCCATTGGCGAAGAAATAAAGGGAAGCAAAAAAGCGTAGGCCAAATGGAAGCGATGTCTTCTGATCATCAAATGGCATGAGCTCTTCAATAAGCTCATTACACACCGCTTTAGACAGGCGAAAATATTGTACGAAAACTGTTTCAGACATGGAGAATGGGTCACTGCTGTCCCGCAGGCTTCTGAGCAGCCGTTTCCTTTCCAACACTTCTTCCTGCTCCATTTGCATAGCACAAAGAACTAAAAGTGCTTCTTCCATTCTTTGCTTAAAAGTTTAATTGGCGACTTCAATAAGCAAACTTTATTAATTTTATAATTTTAATTATCTTTGATTCGCACAACTCGAAATATGTACACATGAAAACAGCTGTAACGAGCTTGTTACCTCCTAATTGGCAGGTAACAATTTTTGTAACTTTTGTCACGGTATCAAGAATTCAGAATACCGATATTTTGAATTTGTAACCAAAGTGGTCAATTGTAACCGTGGTGACTGTTGTACCGACATCAGAATAGCCTGGTTAATATGTTGGATATAAAGATAATATAATTGTAATAACTGCATGAATGCAAACCATTAGTTTACTTTATTTCAGTTACAGCAATGAACATAACCTTCACTCAGTTGTTGTAACAGCTTAAAAATTATTCAAATAATTTTGGGGAATGTTGCTGAAGCGACAACCCTTGGACAGATATACTTTGGTAATGTTCAGGATGCATTAAACAAATGCAAAAATACTTCGACTAACCTTTAGGTCCGCGCCGGTGCATCCCTTTTCATAGCAAGATTTGTGACATGGGGAACATCCCCAGCAAAAAATCGGTAATCGCTTTTAGTGGTAACGTGTTCTAGAAGGCATAGCGTTGTAATGCCTTCGAATTTTTTCACTTCTTTTAGGCATTGTAGGTAATGCAAAGTAGAATGTCATACAATATTTTATTTATTTCGCTTCTTTGTTTCATTTTGGGGAATGCAAAGTAGAATGTCCTATAATATTTCTTTCTTAATTCGCTTCTTTGCTTCATTTCAGGGAATGCAAAGTAGAATGTCCTACAACATTTTATTTTTTTCGCTTATTTGCTTCATTTCAGGGCATGCAAAGTAGAATGTCCTACAATATTTTTTTTTTTATTTCGCTTCTTTGCTTCATTTCGGGGAATGCAAAGTAGAATGCTGCATCGTAGCCAGCTGAAAAATAGAATGAATATCCAAAAAATCTTTTTCTACCGTTAGTTTCCGTGGAAATTTGTTTCGCATAAAAATCATGTTTTGCTTTGTTCAATTTGCAGCGAAGTTGAAGTCAGTCAATGAAGTGAAGTACATGAGTGAGGAAGTACAATTTTAAGCTTAATTAAATATGCATGTATGTACATACCGATTTTTAAGTAAAATCTAAATACCCAAATACATACATATGTATGTATAAAAACTGATTTATACAAATTTTAATTAATTTTAATCTTTTAACACATTTTCTGATTTAATATATGTAAATAAGTATGTACTCATCTGGGCATTCTACATTAGTTTCTCTGTAAGGCATTCTTTGTTCGCTTCTCTGGATTCTGTTTATCCATGCGTTCTCCCTTCGTTTGAAGGTAATGCTGCGGGTAAGGGCTTACCGCCAATGACATGCCCATGTTAAAATAATGCCTTCCTGAAGCGAAAGGGTAAGCGATTCCCATCGCCTAGCTCGTTTCCACTTTCGCTTCTGTGGTAATCGTGTTTTTTGCTGGGTCATTGTAGGCTTCAAAGTGATTATCAGCACACTTATTACAATTCTCACCTTTAAATCCAGCATCACAGGCGCATTTGCCATTACCTTTACGAGTGCCAGAACCCTTACATTTTCCTATGATAAAGAAAAATACGTAAAATCAAATTAGGAATAGTGCGTGGTTTCCAATCACGAGACTTTATTAGCCTGCTCCCGTTTTCCAGGTCTTGCAGGTTTTACGGGAAGCTGTTCCCGTGCGCCACGTTCCCATAAGGTTTATTAAAGGCGAAAACAGCTTTTCCTGTAAAGCCCGCAAATCCAGAAGTAGGGCAACAGGCTATATATGTTTGTGGTAGGTTTTACGTCAAATACGTCCAAAGTAACCACCAGGGCAACACAGTAGCAGCTTGTCAATGCATAACCAAACATGTAGGTCAGGTGAATCGCTTTGTTTGTGCAAGAACCAATCTTCTAATAGGGGCTCGTGATCGTTGGCCATGGTATGACACTGATCTTGTCCACGTTTAACATCACTACACAACTGCTCTTGAACCTCGACTAAACGCACTTCACTGGTTTTATAAGAACGTAGTTTTTCCTCTTCCCAAGCTGCATCACCACCGGCATGCTTGCCGCGACTTATTTTTTCCAACCCCTGTAAGCAAAGTTTTTATTAATACGACACAAAGTTGTTATTACTGCCACGCACTCACCAACTTAAATGATTCCACATGCACAGTGCATGATTTAGAAGGCGCAAACTTAGTTGATCGACCACTTTCTGCAGGAAAACTGCGACAAGATATTATCACTTTTTCGGTACCTGCAATACAAACACAAAAATTCTAAATAGTTAATTAATAAGACCTATTCTTTTGAACACATTTCAAGAGTGGTTGTATATTTTTTGTTAACGTTGTGCTTAATTTACCATATTCAAAGATGGCTTGAGAAATTGGTGAATCGTGAAGAAAACACGTTTTCTCACTGCAAATTCACAACTGTCAACTCGTTGTTCTTCGCCATATTCTTTGTTTACCCGTTGCCACAAATGTCATTCTGCGGGAATGCGCAATCTTGTATTCTATCGTTCTTGTCCAATACTAGTATGGGAACTATTTATGCACGTTTATTTGCCACAAGTTTTTCAACGGCTCGGCGCCAGTGAGCCATTCGCAATCGTATGCTGCGAATGCCGCATTTTACTAAAGCCAGCATTTATATATAAGCTACGAACACATACTACGTTTATACGTAAGCTATTTGCAAATAAAAATAATTTGCAAATACCTAACTCACTGTTTATTCGATGGTGAAAAATTCTTTTTTAATATTGCCTGATTATAAAAAGGCAACAATATGACCATCGAAAAGGAAAATTAACCTAAGAATGGCAGGGTCTTGCGCTTATTTGCAAATAGTACCACTAATTAGTGGTATAATCAATACTTATTTGCGCGATTTAGTTATTTGCAAATAAAAAATTAACTCAGCGTTTATACGGCAAAGTTTTCCATTTTGCAAATTGTTATTTGCAAATAATGCGTTCGTATAAACGTAGTAATAGATATGTATGTATATCAATTTATCCTTATACGTAAATTAGAGTGGTTCATAAAAACACTCTTTCATAAACGCTACATTAGAATATTTTTATTTGTGATAAAAAAAGAGACACGTATTTTTTTATCTTGAGAGGTAGCGTTTATGAATTACAAAAAAAACATTTTTTGAACCACTCTAAGGTAAATATTATAAATGTTACTTTAAAATATATTTAATATAATAAAAACTGTGGTGTAGTGGTAAGCAGTGCGCGCTTCCACTCCGCAGCACCTGGGTTCAAACCCTGGTCAAAGCAACATCGCAAAAAAAATATAGATAAAAGGTTTTTTCTTAACAGCGGTCGTTTCTCGGCAGGCAATGGCAAACCTCCGAGTGTTTTTCTGCCATGAAAAACAGCTTCTCATAAAAATACAATCGCCGTTCGGAGTCGGCAACATCAAGGCGCACGCCACAATTCGGAAGAGAAGCTCGGCCAAACACTAACATATGTGAAAGCGCCAATCTATTATTATTATAAATAAAAACGGAATTGGCATATTTTCTTGATACAGAGCAACAAACTCCACTCAACTTCTCAATGTTATAGAAATTGGTCCATTTTTTACCACTTAGTAAATTTTTTGGACTGGAAAAGAAATTGGAAGCAGCAACCGTGCATTAGCAATAACAATGCAGCATCTTCTCGCTTCCGCGAATTTTAACATAGTCCAACATGCACACTCAGCAAATTACTGTCTGCAACTTCTTTACTATATTTTAAAAGTAAAAAAGTGAAAAGTAATTTCATTCAAGCAAACATTTTAAATATTCCTTTACACTTGCGCCTTGCTATTATACATACACTTCTCTCAAATCTCATACATATATATGTATGTATTTCACAAGCACACACTTTGTCTATGCCTACATATCGCACACCGCACAGTGTTCGATCTTCAAATTTGAGACGACAAAAATGGTTTTTTAATATTCCTTTTTTTTTTAATCTGGCTACTCTATTATTAAGAAGAATCTCAATATATACCAGAAATACCATATATGCGACAAGTTTTTTGTTTATACACTTCTAGCGGTATTGCGAATAGTAGGGAAAATAAACAAACAAAAACACAATTAGTGCGAACGCAACTAGTGCAATTTTTAAAAGCCTATAATTATCAAAGTAATAAATATATTTTCAAAATTTTTTCGGTGGAGATAACTTAAGCTATTATCTGGTTAAACTTTTTATATCTTTGTGTTTTGAGTAAAGGTAACTGTTTACAGATGAAAAACTCAGGGCATGTTTTTACAAGTGATTCCTAATAAAAGTAAATTTTCAGCGGTCCTGATCTTTTGACTCCACCAACACCCACCACAACAAAGAACATATATATAACATACATATATTTATTTTTAAAAATAAGAAATAAAATTCTGCACATACTTGCACTTTTGTGAGAAAATTAAATTTTAGTATGAGCGCCTCTAAAATATCGCATAGAATTTTGTTTGATGTATGGTTATCTAACCTTAAAGAAGATAGATGTGATAAAATATGTAACTTTATTACTATGAATTTTAGCAGCGGATCAACAACAACTATCGATTTTGATAAACTTAAACATTTTTCTTGGCGTTTATGTTCAAAATTTGAAGGAAAATGGGCAAAAGCGTATAGAGTAAAACCTCGCTTTTTGCATGATAATGATAAATGGCTTTCA